AGATTTTGTTTGTAAAGTTTTAGAAAGTTTCATTTCTGATGATAAAGTAGCATCATTAATCTGTGCAGGTGCTTTTATATTACCATCTATGTTACCTTTTGATGTTATTTCAACATGCTTATGCCGTTGTATTGGTGATTCATTAAGTCGCAATGGATAACCATAAGATTCCATTAGATCCTTTGCATCTTTGTCATCCATCGCGGGGATTTCAGGTTCGCTAAACAATGAATCTTCAAACGAAAGCAAACTATCGAATTCTACAATTTTACGCTTTTTCCTTGAAGCATCAAATGATAACTCTCCGGGTATAGACTCGCTTGTAAGTGCCTTCTCAAATAATTCGTCTAGTACAACATATGCGAGTGGACGTTTGAGTTTTTGTTTGGAGTGCCTATTTTTAACATATGAATCGGCAGATTTACTAATCGATCTTTGAATTTCCGGTATGCTTTCTTGACTGGTTATCATATTATCGATAGGTTTTGGTGTTCCCCCCTCTATTGAAATCGTTGATTCTGTCAATTCACTTGACTCTTTTGTTTTTTCTTTGATTTCCACCTTTTGATCCTCTTTTACAGGTTCTTCTTCATGTGATTTAATCTCGGGAAATGGTGGAAGCCAATCAGGAATATAAGAAGGTCTCTTTTTTGTACTTGATAACCCTTCATTATGATTTAACTCTTCTATATGCTCTTTTGTAATTTCACCGTTTGTATTGGGAACTTTCCCATCGTCTATTGGTGTCGTCTGATCCGAAGAAAGAGCTGATAATTCATTTTCGTCAATAGACGAGGACACATTATCATCATCTTTACTATAATTATTTTTAGAATGATTCTGTAACGGTGTATTTATTTCACTTATTCCTTCAATATCTATAATCATGTCTTCTTCCACTTCTTTCATATTGTCCTCAATTTCGTTACTCCCTAATTTTTTTGGTGTCAGTTCCTTTATTTGAATCCTTTGACCTAAATGTTCCGTTTTTCTTGAACTTTGACCGTTCTTTTCAATTTTATCCTTTTCTTTCGCTTCAACCACCGGTGAATTATTATCTTCTGCCTCACTTGAAAGTCCACTTTTTAACAAGTCTATCAAATAAATGAGTAAGATGATGTACGAATTATTTTATTTTTTTTTTTTTAAAAAAAAAAAATTCAAATCAAATCAAGTCGAATCAAATCGAATCAAAATCTTTAAATAAAATATACGTGTAATACCTTTCAAGATAGTTGGCTTTCGTCCAGCATAACCTCCAAGAACTTTCCCTTCGGTTTTTGACCATTCCCTCAACTCCTCCAAGTTTATACCAAGGTCTTCAAAGGCTACCAAGACGTCGGTGGTATTAACTTTAGTCCTACCAGCATTCGTTGCGGCTTCTTGAGCAGATTTTCCTAAAAACATTAAATACTCTTTTAAAACATCAGCAAGCACATCTCCGCTGATTCTTGAACTCTTTTCGAAGCCTGCAGATGCAAGCGTTTGATGTGTAGCCCTGCGTATAATTTCAGCGCAGAATTTCTCCATTTGAGGTTTTTTTTATGAGAATGTCACTGGAATATTCAAACCGTTTTCCAAACCTATTTTTGTATAGTTCTTGTACTGTACAGGTGCAAAGTCATGAAAATTAGCATATGCTGCGCCACGTTTCAATAAACCCCATTACAAATGGTCATGTGATATGCTTCTGTGACTAACGAATTATCAATGGCGCCCATTAAAGAGATTGTTATTACATAAAAAATCCATAGATTACTAAGTTTATAATTAAAAAGATGATTTTTTTTTTTTTTATTTGTTTTAATCAATTAAAATAAAATTAAAATACAAAATAATATAACTTTTATTATATCTATTTATAACAAAAAAAAGTATATATTCAAGTCGAAAAAAAAATTAATTATTATCCCAAGATCAAAAATTTCAAAAAAAAATTGGTCCTATTAAAGAATCCCTTGACAAAAAAATTTCTTAATAAAAGCATGATACAATCATTCATTTAACCCTCTACATAATGATAATGAAAATATTAAATTTAAAATGCCATTAATGTCCTAAATGCAATCGTAGGAAAGAGAGGAAAAAAAAAAAAAAACATGTATAAACATAAAATTTTCACAGTTTAATTAATTGATTAGATAATACGAATATAAGTCATTTCCTCCAATGTTATAAAAAAGGAAATCCTATAGTCCATGTAACCAGACTTCACAACCAATAATACATTTATTGTTGTTTGCATCCCAAATGATGATCTCCTTCGTCGTCGTCTTCGTCATCATCTTCGTCCCATACATTTCCACCTTTAGCTTTCTTGTTACCATACTATATCAAAAGCAACTGAATTAGTTCATTGATCAAAATGTCATATAATAATGACGATAAGAACAATTAATTTACCTCGCTAAAGTCTCCTTCGGTCAAGTGCACTTCGTCAATGACATCCGGACGTGAAACTTCTTCTACTTTTCTGCTTGGTAAAAGCGTTTCTAATTGCTAATTTTAATGCATACATATATTTATATATATAATAAATAATCTAAGATCAAATTACATTTATGAAACTAACTGGTACCTTGATTTTATCCGGAGTAATCCACATGTCGGTTGGAAATTCTATGGTGAACTTAATATACAAGTTACCTTTGTCGAACGGTCGTTTATATTGTGGCATGCCCTCACCTACTATGCATTTTACAGCACCAGGTTTTATCACTTCCCCAGCAGGATGATTTATAACCAACCCACGCCCATCCAAGTGTTTTACAAGAACCTTTGAAAACCCACAAAGCGCCTCAGTAATTGAGATACTAACTTCTGTTAGTAAATCATTACCCTGTCGCTCAAATCTTTCATGTTGTGCTAGTTTGAGGACAAGAATTACATCACCAGTCTCAACACCGGGCTACCATCATAAGATACAATTATAGATAATTATATTTTAACAAGTTGTTTCATACAAACAATAAACATCAATTACTTTGAGTTCGTATAATACCTCTTGATCAGCTTCACCTTGCATAATGATTTTTTGATTGTTTTGCATACCTTTCTCAATAAAAATGTCCAATATTTTTTTTTCTTCTATGGTCTTAACACCTTTACATTTTTTGCATCTATCTTTTTCCCTAATTACTTCTCCTTCACCATCGCCTTTTTAAATAATAGGGTAAATATAAATGATGGAAAATAAAAAAAAAGAAACGCGCGCGCACACTAAAAAATACATGGTTAAATACGTACAGCTAGGACAAACCGTGTTAATCCTTTGAATCATGCCAGGACCGATTTGTCGCATGGCGACCTTAACTCCGCGTCCTTCACAACTAGGGCATTTTCTAGTGGCACCACTCTTACTACCTTTTCTATATAAATGTTAAAAATATTCATCCAACATTAGATCAGAGTATATAGTAATATTTCTAACGACTAGTTAAACATGTTATATACCCGTGACATGATGGGCAAACAATGTCTCTCTGTAAGGAAACTTTGGTAGTTTTTCCATTATAAAGATCTTCCAAAGTAACGTTGAAAGGTTTAATAATATCTTCTCCACGCCTTTGTCTGGAAGGTCCACCACCTAAATAAAATTCATCAACCTAAGTTTTTCATAATCAATGTAACGATTTTTGAAAAAAAAGGGCAAGTTGCACCAACCTCCCATTCCGCCAAAACTGAAAAAGCTTGCAAATAATTCTTCGGGTGACATATTCGAACCCCCTCCACCAGATAATCCCTCCTCACCATATTGATCATATAATTCACTATTTGATTACAAATTTTTAATCAATTTTGACGCGTTTTGGAAATGAATTGTATAGTTTTCAATTAATTGGCTTACCGTTTCTCTTGATCACTCAAAACATCATATGCATGACTAATCTCTTTAAATTTTTCAGATGCCTTCTCATCCGGATTTTTATCGGGATGATATTTCATTGCCTATAAAGACAACGAATAAAGATGTAAGTAAATTAATCCTTTTATCTTATGATATGATCGGGTATAACACGTAATTCCCATTGATAAAAATGAATACAATTCTTTTTAAAAGTTTTGTAATTTTTAATAAATGATTTTACAACGAATCAGCCAGAGCTTCTTTAAAACTTACTAACTTGCGGTATGCCTACGTATGGAAAGATAGAATTATTAAAACATAAGCAATATGGCATTACACTTATATAAAAGCATGGGTGAGTTTTGTTTTCTACCTTTTTGATTTCACTTTCAGAGGCGCTCGTTTCAACACCGAGAACATCATAGTAATTAGTGTGCTTCATCGCGACTTAGATCTGAATCAAAAAGTCGACGCAACCGCAAAAAAAAATTTACAGGAAAAAAAATTTTAATTCGCATCTGTTTTTAAATGCTATTAGGTCGCGTGACTGACCACCTGTGGCTTAACGAAAATTTTAACTTAACCGCAGTTTTTGTAGACACGTGCTAATGTTGAACTAGAATCCGTTTTTCGTTGGATTTTTTTCGTCGAAATCCTAATTTACGCAATAAAGAAAATGTTAATTAATTATCTTAATTAATCACATGTAATCTTCTTCGTACAACATACGTTTCCTAATTCTGAATGCTCTTTGTTATTATTATTTTATTATATATTACACAAAACTATGGTTAGGTTTGTACAGTACCTAAATTAATTAATGATCATCATTTCAAAAAAAAAAAAATTAATTTTTTTATACTTCATCTCATTATAATAAAAATAAATTAATTAATATTACAATAATTTAAGCACGTTCCTAACTGACTTTTTGCGCAGATTTTTTTTTTTTAAAAAAAAATGAAAGTTGAATGAACAAAATAAATAAATATATATAATTAATCTACAAGTAAAGCAAAAAATAGTCAAACGAAACAAACGCAAAGCATAAAATAAAGAAATCTATGATGTTGGTTGTAAATAGATATATATATATAAATATATAAATTATTGATTCATGGTGTTGATAATTGCGATGAATAAACGGAAAGTTGAAATGGGTTGAAAACAGGATATACATTGATGTGTGTAACTAAAGCCGTTTTAACACAGAAAAAAAAATTTCAACATTAAATCCACCCTGAGAACCTAAAATATCATTTCCTCAAACGAAAAGTCTAAGAAAATAAATAATAACTAAAATAATAAATAATAAATAAATCGTACAGAATGTCCATATATAAATATTCAAAATAGACACTACTAATAAAATACAGTAACAAAAATACAAAAATAAACAAGATATTATTGATTGAAGTTATAAACTCCAATTTTTTTTTTTTTTTTGGTTAATAATTTTTTACCCAGATTATTATTATTATTAATATATTTTTTTTTTTTTGTTAAAGAAAAGTTTATTTCCTTGAACTATCTCGTGCAGCTTTGATTAGAGGCACAAGTGTATTCTGATGATCGGCTTTCTCTAAGAAACGATGACATTTAATTATGGTTTTGTTACCCTCTTCTATTTCATCATAAAGTTCTGAGGCGGTTGGTCTCCTTTCTGTATCAACTTCTAAACACTCATTTAAAAATAATCTGAATTGTTGTGAAATACCGTTAGGATTTTGTAATTGTGGTGTACCATTTGTTGCAATTAAATATAAAGCCTGTCAAACGATAAAATGATTTATATTGGCAATAGGTTTTTGAAATGATGCGAAATTTAAAAAAGTCAAATCATACAAACCCTTAAAGGATTCTCGTTCAAATACGGTGGCTCTCCTTCTATCATCTCAATTGCCATAATACCTAATGACCATATATCAACCTTGGGACCGTATTCTTTGCGTGTTACAACCTCTGGGGCCATCCAATATGGTGTGCCAACCATCGTTGTACGTTTGTTATTATGTTCATTGATTTGCGCGCAGAAACCGAAATCGGCTACGAAATTTGAAACAGAGATACAAAATGATGAATTAAAATGTAATAAGAATGAAGCTGATGAGATTTAAATAAAGATTTCCTGAACGCACTTAATTTGATGTCTCCTTGCAATGATAATAGTACATTATCGCTCTTGATGTCTCTGTGAATGACACCTTTTTCGTGTAAATGGTTTAACCCTTTCAACGTCTACAAACAAAATTATATAAGGCATCTAATCATTTTCTTAAAATTATTTAATGTGTGTGTATATATATAAATGGACACCAAGTTTTGAATTACCTCTATACAAACTCTTGCAATCTGGCCTTCCGACATGATATTAGTTGTTACTACATCTGTCAAACTACCACCTTCCATATATTCCATAATGACCCAAAGTTCTCCGGCAAAAAGATAACTATCAATGAAATTCACGATATTTTTATGTTTAGATTCTCTCATTACCAAAATTTCATTTATGATGAGATCCTTCTTTGGTTGTTGTTCAAGGTTCATTCGCTTAATAGCAACAGACAAATTAGTACCCTTTTGATAAGCGGTGTATACACCACCAGAAGCTCTAAAAATAAATAAACGTACATATGTTATTTAGCATACAAATTAAGCCAAACATAACGTATTTGTTTACACACCCTTGACCAATTTTGACCAAATTAGTATAAAAGAGCTCTGGGTTTCCCTCACTACAAATTGCATTCAATCTATCAATTATATTTCCAGAATCCTTATTTTGCTTATTACGTTGAGGAGGGCGTCTTTGGCTTCCTGCTTGTTGTGGTACTTTGGGACCTTGACCAACGTTAGTTGATGGTGATTGGGTTTTTGACGCTGAAGGATTTGTTGGGTTCCCTTGATTATTTTGATTATGACGAGGCGGCTTGGGTTTTGGTGGAGGATGAGGTAACGTCTTACTTTCAAGGGGAGGTAATGGTGTTATTGGCGGGAGTCTCGGAGGGTCCGTCGTGTCTAATATAAATATTTTAAAATAAACACATTATGACAAGGCTAGCCTTAAAACGATTACACGATAATATACTCACTGCTACGCGATGGCTTGGGGGGAGACGTAGAATTGTTTTTGGAACCTTTGTGATTTTTCTGATTCTACATAAAAAATTATTATTACTATTTTATCTCGAAAAAAAAAAAAATCTCTGATACACCGTTTTCTTTAAAATATTACCGTCGTTGGGTTCGATGGTCTTGTGGGGACGGTCGGTGGTGGAGGTTTCCTCTTGTCCGGTGGTACCGGTGCTGTTCTCTAATTCGAAAACGAAATATAAATAAATTTCATCCTTATATGAATCCTGCCCAAATAATTGTTCACCATATAGTTAATTTATGCAAAATTATCAAAAATCTGAAATATTTGATACTAACGGGATTCTCAAATATTTTATCCACCGCTTTTGGTGAACTTGGAGTAACAGATGGAGATGATTTATTTGCAATCTTTGCGTTATTAAATTTCTCCCAAATTGCATTTGGATTTTTGCCACCTGCTGTATCTTGATAAAATGCTACAATATCCAATACTGCCTATATATATATTTTTTTTAAAAAAAAAATTAGCACAGATTAGTATGCAGATGAGAAATATAAAAATCAAATTAACCTTGCGCTACTGATAATTAAACAACATACCTGTGGATGCGCTTGTTGGTCTTGTTTTGAAATACCAGACTCTTGTAATAATGTTTGCCATTCTTTTGGTAAACCCTATATGATCATAAGATATAATTTATTTAGAAACAAATTTATCTCATAATAAGCATTGATATTTTTTCAATACTCTACCGTAAATTCTCCAGTTTCTTGATTGAATCCGACATGAGTTAAATGAACCGGATCATAAGGTGATGAAATTTCCACCCTCTTTTTCGGCCCAAGAAAATCTATTTTAATTGAGTTTTTTTTTTTTTTTTTGATATAAATTTATGTTACTTTAATATTCTAAAATTTGCTTTAATTTTTAATTTTCCAACAATTCCATTATGCTAACGTAAAGTTTTTTTTTTTAAAAGCCGATCTTTCTAGTCGAAAGATAGGAAAGAAATCAAACGAGAAATATTTACCAGATATTAAACTACCGAAAAACTTGAGGGGTTTACTATCTTTTTCACTGGTCGAAGATTGTTGAATTGGCTCACCATGAACGTTGATGGCGGGGGCTCCCTTAAGTGAACTATATCCACTTGCCGCGTACTTTGGAGAAGTGGGAGATTCACCCGGGAGCCCTTGTTTTTGACCATTACCAGCAGAGGGGCTCCTTGCTAGTGCCGCTTGATATGATGGTTCATTTGAGCGAGTAGGTTTCGGTGGAGGACCTAGACTATTTGGTTTCTTATGTCCACGACGCTGGTTATCTTTTCCTGAGGGGTTAGTACCATTCAAATCAGAAGCGCTGCTCATTTGGATGACTTTTTGCGCTACTTTCGGTGGCGGAGGAGCTGAACGTTTAGGTATTAATTGTCCTTGGTTTTCGATGTAATTTGTGGGGGAAGTTTGAAAACCGTTGTTGGTTGGTGGGTTTTCTTCTATATGTGACGATTTTGGTAATTTGTAGAACGGTTGTGTTGTTTGTGTTGTGTTCATGATTTTTTAGTTCGGTACAATATTTTATAATTTGCGCAGTTATAACTTAAAATTTTCTTTTCATACTTTTTTCTTAACACTAAAACGCAAATTGTCAACTTCTATAATTTAAATTTGTTCGTAGGTTTCCTTTTAGTTATTATTAAAAGAATTTTTTTTAAAAAAAAAACATTCATCTAAATGAAATTCTCAACTTGGTTGGAATTAAATGAAAAAAAGTGGTCATAAGGAGTTTCGGTGTTACGATCATAATAAACCCCAATTGTCCAACTATTTTTTGACATTGTATTGTGGGATTTTAACAGTTTCTGTCAATAATCATGCTTGGCAATTATCACGGCGTTTACCGTAGCAAATTTTTGTTTATTAATACAGTTGCCAATAATTGTTAAGTATTGCTAATCGTAATATCGTTATCAATGAAAATCATATAAGACTCAAAAATCGTAACTGAAAATTATCAAACTAAACTGCTTAAAATAGTATAAAGAAAAATTGAGCAGAGGAATAGAAATAAGTATTATGAACAGATTAATCAAAATTCTCTCTTTTGATTTATATCATTTCATTTAGCTCGACATAGAGAAAATAGAATATTGATGATGCAAATCAACGAAATTTATTTCCAATCCAATTGAAAAATATTACGAGAATTCAGGAAATAATCAAGCTGTAACGTTACAGTTAAAAATTTTGTCGAATGATTTGGCGAATGCAAGAGCGAAAC